AAACCCCTCTCCGAGCACAGCCTTTTCTTCCCTCAAGCCAATCCTACACGAGGAAGTGAGACCCAACGAGTGGCCCAGACCAGCCGTGTCCCTGCGGACCCTTTGCCTCCAATGAAGCCTGTGGCAGGTCCCTTCCTTCCCTGGCTTCTTGCTCTCAGAGGGTCGCTGGCCACATCTGGAACAAGATAAGCTGCAGAGACCTTTCTTGCGTCCTCGCCGAAGTGCTGGCTCTGGGCTGTTGCAGCCTGGTGCCCGTCTGGAAGCAGTGCCCTCTTGGGCTTGGTCACCAGCATGAGGGCAGGGCCTCTCCCTGGGGGCTGCCTGTCGCGGGTGTAACCAGGCCTTTCCCCACCAGCCCTCCGGGGTGCCCCTCCCGCCCTGGTCCTCTCCCTCACCCTCATGGGCCATCCTACCGGCAAACTTGGAGCAGCAGGAGCCACCATTTGGTGTCCCCTCCTCACCTGTCCTAAGTCAGATTCGTCCTCACCAGTCCCCTCATGGTCTCAACCTGTGCTGTCCCCGCTGGTGGCCCCTGGCCACACGTGACTTCTGAGCACTTGAAATTTGACTAGTCCAAATTGAGATGTGTTCTAAGTATAACTTACATACCAGTTTTAAGACTTAGTCCAAAATAGAATGCAAAATATCTCATTGATAATTTTAAGTATATTGTATTGATTATACTATTATAGTTTTCCCAATTGCCCCCCTTCATCCCCCTCTGCCCTGACCCCCCAACCCTCCAGCATTCTCCCCTCCTTAGCTCATGTCCATGGGTTGTGCACGTAAATTCTTTGAGTCCTCTGTTTCCTGTACCATTCTTAACCTCTCCTGTCTATTTTACGCCTACCGATTACACTTCTCATTCCCTGTACCTCCCCCCCATTCCTCCCTACCTCGTCCCCACTGAAAACCCTCCATGTGATGTCCATGTCTCTGATTCTCCTCCTGTTCTAGTTGTTTGCTTAGTTTTCGCCCCCTTACAACTGAACAGGTGGTCCAAGACAAAGAAATAGGGCCCAAATGAAAGAACAGAGCAAAACCTCAGCAAGAGAGCTAAGCAATGAGATAGCCAACCTATCTGACGGAGAATTTAAAGCCCTGGTAATCAAAATGCTCACAGAACTGATTGAACTTGGTCATTAACCATTTTAACTTCAATTACAGGTTCGAGTGATAATATTTTAGCTGTATTAGGTTAAATATAGCATATTACTAAAATGAATTTTACTTACTCTTTCTTTTATGTTATTTGGCTTCTAGAAAACTTTTAATCAGAGGAGAAGGAGGTTCCGGCCCCCTCCCTAACGCCTGCAGCTGGTCTAATGGGTGAGGGCAGGTGGGTTGCGGGGAGGTGTGAAGGGGTCCTTTACCTTTCTGCTTGTTCTCTCCTGGAATATTTGCGCTTGAACCCATGCTACCCAATCAGCATGTATTTCAGTCCCAAACCTCACTTGGGTCCACATGAGAAAGTCATGGTCCTCCCTCGCTCACACACAGGCACAAATGACTGGAGGCAGAGAGGTCTGCACTTGGAGAGAGAGCAGCAGGGCCCTGGGTCCAGCTGACACTAAGCTCTTCCCAGGCAGTGCATGCTGGTCTCTCTCTGGTCCAAGGTGCCATGCAGATGGGGCATCCTGCACTCAGTGGGTGAAAGGACCACGTGCAGACAAGGGAGAAAACAAAACTCGTGCCCCCAGGTTCTTGGAGGCCTGTCCCCATCTTTTGGAAAGCACACATTTCCTTATCACCTGACACTCTTGGATGAGGGGGGAAACGGACAGAAGTGGTCCATCCTTTAGCTGGCTTCAGTGATGGCCAGGCCAGTAGGGGAGAAGATAAAGCCACAAGCTCCACCTCTGGGGGCCGGCACTGAGGATCCTCAGGGAGATCCTGGGGGCAAGGATGCCAAGGGCACAGATCTGCAGGGAGGGAAGCTGAGATGAGGGAACCTTGGCGACAATGGTCCAGCATCTGAACCGCTAGGACAAGCCTCGGGGTCTGAGGAGCAGCTGCACCAGCCAGAAGGGAGGCCAGGCTGGCTGGCCAGAAGGAAGAAAAGTGACAGAGAAGTTGAGCTGGGTCGTGCAAAGCCTTGAAGGCCATTCTCAAAAGTCTGGACTTTATCCAGAAGCAACTGGGGGTTTCTGAGCAAAGCAATGACATGCTCAGAGCTGTGTAGAGGCTGGAGGCTCTGTTCTCCCCAGACAGGTGCACCCGGAGGGGCTGAGGACGAAGATGGCCTGTCAGGGACTCACCTGAATGCCCAGCAGGTGAGGCTTGTCAATGGTAATGGTGAAGCCAGGCTCACACAGCATTCAATGAGCCCTCTGTGGGAAGTGCAACGTTTATACCTTGTATACAGCTATGCAGGGAGGTGGCACATAACAGCTGAGGACTGTTAGATTTCCTAAATGTACGAGTGAGTGAATGAGTGAAAGTTTGTTGACAACTCTATCCCCCCGTCCTTACATTATGTGTTGAATGCATTGGGCTGAATTGCACTGGATAATCAGTTCAGTGGGCTGGAGTCTGAACTGAGGCCCCCTTGGAGGTGCACAGCGCCTGGTTGGGTGCGAGTTAATGGAGCTCCTGCGATGAGCACGGAATGCTAAGAAGAGGGGGGAACACAGGTAGGGGGCAAGATGCAGGGCCCTGGTTTTGCAGAAAGAGGCCTGGCCCAGCAGCCTCAAGTCTATCCCTGCAAGCGCCCCTCCACACCTCTCCCGAATCCCCCCACAGCAAGCCCTCTCCAGCTGGCTACAGCCTCTCTCCCGGTCCTGGAATTAATAAAGACTGAGCAGACTGCGGTTTGCAAGTCTGAAAGCCGGTTCCTGCCCACGTCATTGCCCTGAGACGAGTGGGGCCCAGCTCCTCCCCAGCGCCCCATCCTTCCCTCTTCCTGGGAGGAGACAGGCATGTAGATGGACCCCTGGGTCTCCCCTCCCCACCAGCAGGCACATCCAGGCACTGGGCCTCAGACCCTGACCCAGAGCAGCCTCTACCTCCCCAACGAGGGCTAGCTCAGGCTCTTGATCTCCATCAGCTACCCCCAAAACACCCCGGGATGTAAGAGTCACACACTTGCTGTGCAAACAGCTGTAAGGCAATTCCTCCAGCATGCCCACCCCTTCCAGGCCCCTGGAGTGCCCACCACCGGAGAGCAGGAAGAGGAAGGGGTAGCCCAGGGTGCCGCTGTACAAACAAGAGTGGAGCTTGCGGAGCTCATGGTAGTGACGGCGGCATTACAGCCGTACCAGCACCCAATGAGCACAGAGCATCTTGGATCGAGCAGGCGCAGTACAGAAACATACAACCACATGTCGTTTATGTTTGCAATAACCCTCTGAGGGAAGGATAGTAATCGCCATTTGACAGATGAGGAAACCGAAACTCTACAAAGAGGTGACCCCAATAGAAAGTGCTAGAGCTAGAATTGAGGCCTAGTCCCGGGTCCCCAAGCCCGTTGGCATCTCCACTCTTGGCCGCCCTTGGTGGCCCTCCGGACTGCCACGATGCTCCTGGCCAGAGGAGGGACCATTTCATTCCTTCCCTTGATGTCGAGGCGGTGTCCTCCCCTCATTCTCCTTCTGGGCGAGGAAGGTGGGGAGAAGCTCTCAGATCTTGTGACCTCGACTTACCCCTTCCCAGGCTGCGATGAGGGCAAGTACCACTTTCCCCCTCCTACACTGTGGCTCCCAAATTTCTTCCCTCCCCCAAACCCCAAATCCCCAGGGGGTCCTCATCGTGCCCAGTTAGGCGGTTATAACCCCGTCCTTCTGGAAATGCTGGTCCCAGCTGCTTCAGCACAGGGCCGCCCCCTTCTGGCCACCCGAGGAATGTCATCCCAGTCTGGAGCCAGGAGAGAATCAGCAGTCTGCGAGTTCCCATGTCCGTCCAGGTGCTAGCAGTGCTCAGTTTGGGGACAGGTGGGGGCAGAGTGGTAAAGGGAGGCTGGGTCACCTATGAGTCTTGGCAGGCTTCCCAAGCCCCTGTTCTCCCTCCCACAGGCACCTTGGGGATCCAGCCTGATCTTTGCTAGACAATGTGGCCTGCACAGGCCTGCGTGTGGGACTGTGACTTTGATCCATGTAAGGGGAACCCCTGTGGTGTGTCAGGGTCTCCCACATGTCCCCCAGATGCCCCAGTAAACAACATCAACATGGTCTCAACTCCCAGGCCATCCCCCTGTGCAGCCCCTCACCCTCTGCCGCCAGGGACCACAGACCCGACAGAAGCCCCCACCCCACCCAGGCTTCAGGTGGGAGGCTGTGACCTTAGCTCCTGTAGAACCGGACCATGTATTGTGTCAGGGTCCCCCTTCCTGCCCCCCGATGCCTCGGGGGATAGCAGCAGGGTGATTTTACCCTCCAGGCCGTTCTGCCTGCAGGTAAACCTCAACCTCTGTCGGCACTGGCCCTGGGCCGGAGCCCCCAGACCTGCCCGACACCCCACTCCCCCAGCTTTAAGCAGGGCCTGTCTCAGGCCAGGCCTGGGGGTGTTGGGGAAGTCTGGAGGGCCAGGGTGGGGGCAGAGGCGCGGGACAGCTGGCCTGTGTCCCCACACTGGGCCTGGGGCCCAGCCGGAGGGGCGGGGGCCTGGCCACTTGGGCCTTGGCTGGGGCTGGATTTTTGGCCGGGCTGCAGGGCCCTCCCTCCTGCTTCCTCTCCCGAGGGCTGTCCTGGCAGAGGCCCCCCTCACACTTTCTGGCGGGAACAGGGCCAGCAGTGAGAGAACAGCCACAGAGGGAAAGCGAGAGAGAGAGAGAGAGAGAGAGAGAGAGAGAGAGAGAGAGAGAGATGAGGGGAAACTGTGTGTGTGTGTGTGTGTGTGTGTGTGTGTGTACGCGCACGCGTGAGCGAGTGTGTGTTTTAAGGAAAAGAGCCCACAGTCCAGTCCACTCAGACCCAGCCTGGGAGGCTTGTGAACCGGCCTTTCGTAATTGCCCCCCTCCCCACAGCCCCCTCCCCCAGGCCTCCCCCTTCTCAGGCCCTCCTGCCCGCCCTCTCTCCCTCCCTTCTTCCCTCGCAGCCGAGGAGGCAGCAATTACGCTTTGGGGATAAAACGAGGCGCGGAGAGCGGGCTGGGGCATTTCTCCCTGAGATGGCGGGTCCGACAGCTGCAGCCCTGCGGCCCGGAGTCCTCCTGCTCCTGCTGTCCGTCATCCACCCCTCGCAGCCTGGAGGTAGGCCTCACCCTGTTCCCGGAGCTGCCGGCGGACCCTCCATCCTCCCAGCCAGGTGTCTGGGCTAATGGATGAGAGGGTGCCCTTCACCCCGGCATCCTCCAGGGGTTCCAAGGCAGGAGCCCAGCGATCACTGGATCCTTATAGCCTCCCATCCCCGGACCTCGCCCATTCTGAGGTGGAACCTGTCACATAGATACCCCTCGATGTGGGATGGTCCCAACAGTGACCAGGTTCTGCTGCGCTGAGGGGACCAAGGCGCTCCTGCTCTGTCTCTGCTCTGTCGGGGCGCTGTCCCAGTGGGGGTGTTGGGAGCCTGCTGAGGAGGGGCCAGGCACCAGCAGTTTGCATACCTGCGGACCCAGCCCAGTGAGCACGTGTGCCCTGCAGGCAGGGCGACCTGAGCTAGCGACCAGCCAAAGTGAGCTATGGGGCTTCAGCAGGTTCCTTGTCCCCTGGGAAGTCAGGAACCCCTCTGAGGAAGGTCAGGGTTAGTTGATTACGGGGTCGCCAGTTAGAAAGCTCCTTCTGTGGTCTGTCCATGGTAAAAAGGGCTGGGACTTCTGAGTGTGTGAAGTGTGTGTGCACACGCATACAGATGCAAACAGAAATGAGTGTGTTGCATGCTATTCCATAGGTGTGCATGGGTGTATGTGCCCAGAGACATCACCAAATAGTGGAGGAGGTTTCTGGGATAAATCTCTGTTAACAGGTTCATCCCCGGACAGGTGTGTATATATGTGTGCACGTGTGTGTGCTGGTGTGTTTTGGGGGAGGAGGTTGTAGGGTAGGTGAAAGACATTCACAGAAGTCTGCCACCTGATAGACATGTACACATGGGAGATCTGGTGTCCAGGTGTGTCCTTAGGTGTGGATTGTCTCCATGTACGTGATGGTGCACGTGAGAGTGTGTGCGTAGCAGTTGTCGTGTGGAACATAAGGGAGAACAGGGAGGCTGGGTGAGGTGTTTACCTCCTGGCAGAGGCTGGAGTAGACCTTGGGGCAGTCCTGGACCATCTAGGGTGTGTCTTGCCTCAGGCCTCAAGGGTCTCCCCATGGGGATGCCACGCACTTTGGGGGCCCCTGGGAGGCACACACCAGAGACCCTGGTAGGTGCTCCTGGCCATGGGCAGAGGGGAGTGAAGGCTCAGGAGCCATGTAGAGGGGGCCAGGGCGGGGTCTGGTCCCTGTGAGAGTCCTCCTTGCCATGAGAACTTGACCTCAGTGGGGACCACCATGGGCGGCACATGGGGTGGGGGAGCAGGGCCGAGGAGGAGGGCAGCAGCGGGGGGCCGGGCAGGAGCAGCAGCTGTTTCCGTGAGATTGACTGTCTGGACGGGGCTGCTGGGAATAGGGGCTTCCTGCACAGAGGTCATCAGCTCCGGGCCTGACCAGCACTATGGGGTGTGTGCGCCGTCAGATGGGGCCTGGGGGTGGGGAGCAAGACAGCCCAGAGGACCAGCACCCCACTGTCAGAGAGCAGCAGCTCTGGACCTGCCTGAACCTCCCCTTGCAAGGCGTGGCCCTGAACACCTGCCTGCCTTCTCAGAGCTCCCACCTGGAGCACAGCAGTTAAGCCCCACAGGAGCCCTGACAGTGAAGAATTACTAGCTTCACTTCACAAGGGGGACACTGAGGCACAGACTGGCTACGGCAGCCCCAGGAGCTTCGGTACCAGCCAGCTCTCTTCCCTGGGCCAGTGGATGAGGGGTGGAGGTCAGGTGCTAGGCAACATCGGGGCAGGTTGAGGCCTAGGGCTGAGTCCTCTAGGGCGGGCAAGCCCTAGGGCAGAAAGCACCCTGTGCTTGTCCCCTCAGTGACACTGGGAAATGCTCAGCTGGCCTTGGTCTTCCCTTGCAAATGTAAATCACAGCTCTGTTCCAGGTGGTAGAATGAATCCTGGGTCTAAGTAAGGGGTGCACGATTGATGAGCTCCTTAGGGGTTTGACCAAAGTCTAGAGAGGTCAAGGAGTAGAGGGGCCGAGATACACATGCGCACACAGAGCCACCTGACTGGCTGTCCTGGGGGAGCCCAGCGGCCCCCCACCCAAAGACAGTGTCAGCCTCATATGTTTCCCAACTCCAAAGAGCCACGTTACCAGTGGGGGCAAGGAAGGGGCTCCCCGGGATGACTGTGCAATGGAAAAGGTTGTCTAGACTGAGTCCAAATGAGTCCAAAGTCGCTTCGAGGGCCAGGTGTCCAGACTCCCATACCAAAGAGGGAGAGAGAGAGAAACTAAATTAAGCATCTCCCATCCCCCAGAAATACTATCAGGTTTTTAAATTTATTCTGGAACTGAGGATGATTTGGAAGATGGGTTTTGAACCCTGGCTGCATATTGGGGTTACCCAGGGGATTTTAAACAATTCTGATATGGGGGTCCCACTCAAGAATTCTTGTTTCATCTGGTCTGTGGTGGGACCCTGACATGGAGGTTTTGTCAAAGCTGCCCACGTGACACCGATGAGCCTCCAGGGCCGAGGACCTCTGGCTTAGGGGCTGATCTGCTCTCTGCGTCCTCGAGGCCGGCACAGGAGGGCAGACGCGCCTTGCGGGCAACGGGGACTGGAGCCCTTCACTGGGAGGACAGATTGTTTCTGAAAAGCCCTTGGCAGCCTTTCTCCAAACAAGCAGCAAACAGCTTCGTGTGGTCTTATCTGCTCCCCAGGCGGGCCCTTTGGACTCGGGCTTGGCAAAAACACCTACCAAAGGACCGCTTGCCCACTGCCTGCTCCCAAACAGCCTTCTCCCAGATCTTTGAACTTGGAGCCCAGGCTCCAGGCAGAAGGCCCTGCGTGTGACTGGGTTCAGCTCTGAGTCCTAGGCCAGGCACTTCATTTCACGGGCTCTTGGTTTCCCTGGCTGGGAAATGGGGAGAAACATCCCTGCCCTACTGTCTCCTAGGGCTGGTGGGAGGCTCCAGCAATACAACATCTGTCAAAACTGTATCAAATAAGAGAACCGTGGGGATGTGGACTTTTAAAATGATGATCTTCTTATTTAGAATTTGCTAACGTGGGCCGATCGACCTTTGTAATTAGTGCACATTTATAAGCTTTCGTTTCCCTTTTCCCATGTTTCGTCTAGTGGGGAGCAGAGTGCTGTGATGGAGGAAGCAGCCAGGACTGAGGCAGGGAGTGTCTGGAGGCGTTCCAGAAACCCCAGGAAGGCTTCACGAGGAAGCAGAAGTGACCTCTGAGCTAGACCTTTAAAGAAAGGTCAATGTTTGAAGGGCTATTGTTGAATGACAGGTGAACTTCAGTCTATGGGGCTCTGGGAGGCAGAATTAGAAAGACAGAGGGGCAGATTCTCTCCCGATAGGAGGACGGCCTCTCTGCAGGTAGAGTGGACAGCACCAGGAAGAGGTGATTTTCCCATCACTGGAGGCGTGCAAGCAGGAACACCAGGGGATGTTTGCAGGAGGAGGTTTCAGCCCAGGCCAGAAGACTGTTATGATCTCTGAGAGTCTAGGATCAGGATTCCAAGATGCAAGAGACAAGTTCACCCTGGACCAGCCGGTGAAATAAGCCAAACCCACATAAAACAAGACAAGCGCGCAGCAGGCCAACCATTCTGGGCCAGCTGAACAGTGAGAATCACAGGCTCAGAAAAGGCAGCAGGGAGAATCTGAGCTCAGTCTCGAGGCAAGGGTAGGACTTGGAGAGAGGAGAAGGCATTCCTGGCAGGAGGACCTGCTCAGGCCAAGGAGTGAAGATGACCTGCTGGAGCACAAAAGTGACTGCTGCCTTTTCGTAGGCCCTTGCTGGCCTCTGTTTTATTATAGTCTCGCCTCTCCTGCACCTGAAGAGAGAAGGCCAGGCAGGGACCCTTCACATCCACTAAGTCGTCTCTGTTTCCTCTGCGCCGAATGGGCATCAGAACCCATAGTTCCCCAGGCTGTCACAGTTCAGGCTCGGAGTTTGGCACATGCTGTTGGGATTTGAATCATGGGGGTGGAGAGTGGGGAGAGGAGATGGGTAGGCGCTGGGGAGAAAGGAAGCAGAGGAGGAGCTGGCAGGCCTGGGAGGGGCCGGGTCACAAGCAGGTGTGGGACGGCAGAACCCCGAGAGAGGAAGTGGGGTTCCAGCCAGGCCCCAGTGCTGCCAGAGCAGGCCAAGGGGGGAGACTCCCAGGCTGCCTGGGGGTAGAACAGGTCAGATCCAGACCCGCAGGCAGAGTCTTTGTTTCCCCTCTACCGAAAGTGCCCATTGTTTATTGAGCACCCACTGTACACCCAGCCCCAGGCTGTGTAGGGCCATGGATACAAAGAGTCACCATCTTTTTTTTTTTTTTGAGAAATTAACTGTCTACCAGGTCCAGGGCAGAACAGGTGTCTCTTAATTGAACCATTTGACAACTTGCAGCAACTTTGCACAGCAGCGGCTATAGGCCCCCATTGCTGGAAAGGAAACTGAGGCTCAAAGGGGCCGAGTGACTGGCCCAAGGTCACACTGATGGTAAGAAGTGGATGGCACAGCCAGGAGTAGAGGCAGATGGGTCTGTCCTGAGCCCCAACGCTGCTCCCACAGTCCGCTCTGGACCTAGAGAGGAGGGAGCCAGGCTGAGGCAGAGAAAGGCCCGGAGTGCACCCGGGAAAGGACAGAAGACACAGCGCTCAGAGCTGGAGGCCAGAGCCGGGGAAGGCGAAGGCATCAAAGGCTCGATGCGGCCCATGTGTGTGCTTGGCAGCGGATGACAGGGCTGCAGCACTCACTCCCAGCGGGCCCGCCCTCCTGGGGCCACCACTTCAAGCCCCGAGGCTTTGACCAGATTTCTTGCACACTCCAGGCCTGGAGTGCAGTTCCTGGGGGACCGCAGGCCTTGGGGGCGGGTGGTGGCGCCAGGACATTGGCACGGGGTGGCCGTGAAAGCTTGGCATGCCCTGTCCTGCTGGTCTGTGTCTGGGGCTGACAGGGCCCTGGGGCCAACAGGCCAGCTGTGTAGCATCGCCAGGGCACAGAGGCCAGATGTCTGTCCCTGAGGCCTCCGGATACACCAGAGCTGACCAACACTGTCCCCCAGCCCTGCCCGTGCCCTTTTCAGCAAGGTGGTGCTGGGGCTTGGGCTGGGGTATCGGCAAGGCAGCTTGTCAAGGTCGGGACCATTCTGAGGCGGCGGAGTTTGGGCCAGGTCCGCAGCAGGATCATCTGTTGCCATGACCAGGCCTGGGGCTGGGGCCTGGCCTCACAGCATTCCCCAGTGAGAGCTTCACTGCTCTGTGGGGACTGAACCCGTGATCTTGGCTGTGCAGACAGTCCCTGGCCTGGCCAGTGAATTAGCTTTTCCTTAGGAAACTATTCACTTTGCTCATTCATGGTGTCCCCCTCTGGGGCCCGGCGCCTCCTAAGACAGCCCTATGTCAGGCAGCCAGAACCCCACCCATCCACTGTTGCCCAGTGGCTGAGGACGCTGACCTCACGCCGTCCTATCAGTGTGGGAATGGCTGCATTTTTACTGGCAGCGGCCTCATTTCCTTACTGCTCATTTACAGCCCGGCCTGCTCTCCCACAGCCCTGGCCCCTGCTGCTCAGGCTGGAGAGAGCTGGCTGCCCAGTGAAAGGCGCTCAAACCCAGCCTCACACCAGGCCCTCTCCAGGGAGAGAATTGTCTGGGTTTGAATCCAGGTTCCATCTCTTTCCAGCTGTGTGGCCCCAAGCATGTCCCTTAACTTCTCTGAGCCTGATTTCACATCTGTTGGGATGAAGATAGTAATCCCAGTCCTTCCCACTTCACAGGGTCACTTAGCAGAGCATGAATAAAAAAATGCTTTGAAAACAAAAATTGCTTTGTGTACATGCAATATTATTATCATAATGGTCATCATTGTTACCATGTTTGTGTTAGTTCTGGCTAACAGGAAACTCTACCTACTTCCTTTCAGGGGTCCCGGGGGCTATTCCTGGAGCCATCCCTGGAGCCGTCCCTGGAGCCATCCCTGGAGCCATCCCTGGAGTCGTCCCTGGAGCCATCCCTGGAGCCATCCCTGGAGTCGTCCCCGGAGGCATTCCCGGAGTTCCTGGAGCCATTCCTGGAGGGGTTCCTGGAGGAGCCTATTACCCAGGTAATGTACACGAAACTTTCACACACCCAGGTGAGGCAGACTGCGAGTCCCTTCCTGAGAGGAACACATTTTGACACTGCTGAAGGGGACAATGTTGTCATGCCTACCACGGAGGACCCACAAGTCACTCCTACTTAGAAAAGCAGTTTATATGACAATTTCACACCTGTTAAGGGCATAAATCTTCTGAAAGATGAAACAGTGCTTTTGAGGCTACAGGAAAGTAGGTGTCTTCGCACATTCCTGCCATTCACGGTCTTCAAACCGTGGAAATCCATTGAAAGGAAATAATTGACGAGAGAAAAGGAAGGACCTGCAGCAAGGTTCATGGGAGTGGTGTTTGCAAAACATGAAACAAGAACCCACCTGACTGGAGGGCATGATGGAGAAAAACTAAAATATTACCCTGTTACTAAAAAGTATGAGTAGGTTACCTGTTGTGCAATATGGTGAGGTGCTTTCCAAGTAAAAACAATATAAAAGCAACAGCCATGTGCCGGTGGAAACCGGCTCCCCCCACCCCCCAAATGAAAATGGGCAGAATGTTGGAGCAATGCCATCCAAGGGCCATATTTTCCTTTAATTCAGGGGGAAAAGCATGGGGCTTTAATGTAGACTGAAGAATCAAGGTAATATTTTCAATCCAGAGCTGACAGGGAAGTGAGGGCAGCGACCAGCACACTCTCAGGCACAAACTGGCACAGGACGACTGGCCCGATGAGGCAGATGAGGAAACTGAGGCTCACAGGGAAGGCTTGCCCGAGGTCGTGTAGCGAGGCAGTGATGGATTTGACCGTGGGTTGATGGGTGGCTTTCTGGCAGGGGCACTGTTGTTTCTCTTCTTTCTCTCTCTCTGTATATATACTGTGTGTGTGTGTGTGTGTGTGTGTGTGTGTGTGTCCCTGAGATTGGCCTCGAAGGCCTGGGAGGAGGAGGTGAGCTCAGAAGCCAAATGTGGTTCCTCACTGAGGGGGACTCGGTGTCACCCTGGCTCACATAGGTCCTCAAACCCCAGGACCCCAGAAGGCCCCGGCATCAAGGGGGCCCTCGTTTTATAGGCTGAGTGTCTAATGGAGAAAGACTTGTCTGAGCACTGGAACCCACCGGCCTTTTGAGCACCTCCCCCAGGCTTCTTCCCTGGCGGTCCCTGCGTTCATTCACATTTCCTTTGATCCTCCACAACATTCCTGAAATGCCGGCTGAATGGGTACTAACGTCCCCTTCAGAGGCTGAGAAACTGAGTCTGAGAGTCAAAACCACAGATCAGGGCGGGAGCTGGGCTTCCTACCAGGTGTCTAGACATTGGGCTTCCAGCAGCTCCTTGTCCTAAGGGAGGGCTGTCCCTGACGGCCCGTTTAGGACTTGGAGAGTTAGACCCCACAATGCCCTTGCTTTGCCCTGGGGGGATAAATTGTAAGGCAGGTGGACCATTCACTACTATCTCTTTCCTCTGCAGGGCTGGGGCCTGGAGCCAAACCACCTAAGCCAGGTAAGACCTGAGGTCTTAGGGCACTGAGAGCAGGCCAAGGGCCAGGGAAGGGGAGGGGAGAGGGGGAGAGGGTCCACAGAGCTGCAGACCTAACAATGGAGCCTCCGGGCAAAAGGCAAGAAGGAAGTGGGGGGGGCTGTTCTGGCCCCCCCAGGTACGAGCAGTCTCAGGCAGGGCCGAAGGGCTCTGGGGACAGGAAGCTGGTGGCAGCTTTTGTGAGGAGTGTCCAGCATTTATTCTATAAGTGCCTATGTGCCCAGCTGCCCTGTCCCTTCTGCACATGGTCTCAGAAACAGCCTGGTGCTCAGGACAAAGGTAAGGGTTGAGGTTCCAGGGCCCCAACCCTATGAATGTCACTCTGAGGCTTGGACACACATGATAGGCTCCAGACTCCACCTGGATGCTGCCCTGACTCCAGACCGAGCCCCCTCTAACTCCATGCCAAGACCCTCAATATCCCTGACCTTGCTGACGATTCAAGCCCTTAGCCTGATCCCATGCTGAGCCCTGACTCCAGACCGAGCCCTAAACTTAACCCCAGGCTGGACCCTGGCCCTGCTGCAGACAGGCGTCCTTCCTGATCCTTGGCCCTTTCTAGCTGTGTCTAGACCATGGAGTTTTCCAGGCAGGAGATATGACTGGATTGTCCTGGCCTCGCCCAATGGGCCATAAGGGTCCACCTCCAGTTCCAAAGAACACACCCCCAGGAAAGACAGAGGGCGTGCCCTTCCCAGAAAGCACTGGTGGATACGGAGCAGGTGGAGGAAATGGTGTCTCTGCGCAGACCGATGACCCCGCTGGTGTGAGATGCTCCGCATGTGGCCTTGGCACTCCCCGCCACGCTGTTTCTCCCCGGCTCTGGAGGCTGAGGCTCTAGGATAATCTGCATGTCCAACAGCTCTTACGAAATCCCGCCGTTCGATGATGCAACTGCAGATGAATCTGCAAGACCCAGATTCCCCTTCCCTGCAAGCCCATCTGGGTTTTGAAACTCCAGGGTGAGGGCCAGGCTAGAGAGAGGCCGAAGGGCAGGAAGCTAGGGCTGCAGGCTTCCTGGAGTCTGGGTTTCTGCAAGGCCGGAGTCCTTGGAATTCACTGCTGTTCCTGCCGGAGCCTGTATTCTGCCTCTTTGGAGGGACCTTCCCAGGGTCTTTGATGGTAGAAAGAATGGAGGGAAGGATTAGGTAAGCCAAGGTGTAGAGGTAGGTCTGTGCTTAGCCAAGAAGACCCAAAATGTGGAGGTTGTGACCGCAAAGCTAGAGGGGAGATTGTCTGGTCCCACTGGCAGCAGGGGACACATGTCGTGCTGTGATTAAACACAGGAGGGAGGACTGAAAGAACTGCATAGAATCCCACAATAGCTGGTTGCTAAAATGAAGCTTTTAGTAACAGTTTAGTTTAGACTTCCAAAAGAATTTTCAGCTCAGGGTGAAGGAGTAGACATAAACAAACAAACAAACAAATAAATAAATAAAAGTCAGGGCATCTCTTTCTCTTTCTGATGAAAGAGGGCTGGATCTCACAAACTCCCTGTGCTCATCTTTGAGCCTCAGGGCTCTGGACCACAAAGGCCTGGACAAAGCCAGTCCCCCGCCCTCCCCCAGGCAGCTCCCCACATCCGGGCCCTGGGGATGTCCGGGCCTGCCCAGGCAAGATGGAACAGGGCATAGGTCGTGTGTGTCGTGCTTCAGAACAATTAATCCCTTGGCGAGTAGCGGGTGGGTGGCCTGGCAGCTGCTCCATGTGGGCCTCGGCGGCTGGCCTGCCTGGGCTCTCTGTGGGGGACCAGGCAGCTGGGAGCCAGCAACACCCACACCCTCGGCACTAGCTGGAAACCAGCCACCCATGGGAGAGGACCGGAAGGAGCAGGGCACACCTACTGGGCACCCTGGCATATTCCCCACACTAGGTGCTTTCTGCTCATGATCTCACAGGTCCCAGGAAGGTCAGGGACACAGTGGCATCTTGTAGGTAGGGAAACTGAGCCTCAGAAGGGAGAAGGGATTTGCTCTTGCATGCACAGTCAGTAGGGACAGCAGTATTTGAATCCAGAGCTCTCTGATTGCAGAAAGAGAGAGGGTTGGGCTGGCCAGGGCCCTCGGCTCCCAGCTGTGGTCAGCATCTCACCCCTCCTCCCCTCCTTTCCAGGGGCTGGACTCCTTGGGGCATTTGGGCCAGGTAAGTCCAAAGGAAGGAGGGCAAACAGCCATGGAGCAGGTCACGCTGGAGGGCAGTGTCGGGACCAGACTGCTAGAGGGAGTGAGGGAAAGGGACAGGGGGCTGCAGAGAGGCTGCCCGTTCGCATCCGCGCTGCCCCAGCCTTTCTTACTTCAGGTTCAGTTCCCATCTTCCCTTCCCAGCCCCTCTGTGGTCGGGAAGGCTGGAACAGGCATGTCCCCTGCCCTGTTGGAGCTCAGGAAACAGGCCTGGCTGGAAGGAAGCCCCTAAGAGAGCTGGGGAGGGCAGGGTCTATAGTTCTGGGAAGTGAACTCCACCAGCCCCAGGCAGGGCCTGCCTCACACCCTGTATGCCTGGAAGGCAGACTAGGCAGAGTTAGAGGCCCGTCTTCCAGAGGCGCTGGCTGAGTTTCAGATGGGGCGAACTCACACAAGTAGGAAATGAGTGGGGGGAAGGGAGACCACACCCAGTGAAAGCCAGGTAGACCCCTCCTGGGCTTGGCAGTCAGTTTCCAGTGAGGGCTTCCCTGGGCTCAGGACCCTGGCAGCCACCACTGGTGCTTGCAGGAAAGATTCTCACATAATTGGAAACAACCCCGGCACGCTTGTGAACTCCAACCTGATTGCCCATCAGTCCTGGCCAAAGTCATGGAATGTCTCCTGGAGGGGGAGAAGCAGCGATTGGGCCCAGATGTGGGGAGAGAGAGCCAGAGGGACCCGTTTGACTTTTCATAAACATTTTAGCATCTGTCTGAAATAGAGGAGGCTCCTAGACTGCAGGCATGCTGGATGGACAGATAGATAGATGGTGGAGGACAGAAGGGTCTCCAGATACACAGAAGGAGGAGTGGGCTGAGCCAGGTGACTCCTGAAAGGAAGTAGAAGTGAGGTCTGGGGGAGGGGCTGGTGTGGGAGCAGGACAGGGCCTGGCCTGGGTGAGGGCTTGCCGGCAGACTCCACTCAGCTCCTGCCCCCACAGACAGCCCTGCTGAGTCCCCCATTAGCTGTCAGTCCTTCTAGGAGAAGCAAGGCCTGGCCTAGGCACATTGTGGGGCATGTGGGGTGGGAAGTCAATGCAGTTACATCTACATAGCACACAGCAGCTAGTCGCTACATGGCAGCTGCTTTTCTATCAGGATCAGCCCCTGAGAACCAAAGGCTTCAGTCCAGCTTAGGGTCATGAGCAGCTGTACACTGACCATAGTGCTGCTTGGTTCCTGCCCGCCCTCCACGAGACCCTTCCTACCCAGGATCCAGGAATGATGCCCACTCACCAGTCTCTCTTCTCACCTGGCTCTGTCTCCTTCTTCCTACAGGTGTTGGAGGAGTTGCAGGAGCTGTCCCTGGGGCAGGTTAGTGTTGTCACCCAAACAAGATGCCCATTTTCGGGGCCAGAGCCAAGCTCAGGGCATCTGCTTAGTATGTGGGCCAGGCCAGTCCTGGGCATGCGCATGGGGGTGATGCTGGGACCACCTGCCCAGAGTAGCTGCCCTGAATGCAAGAGAGTCGCTTCCGCTGCATCCTGAGTGCTATTGTGATGTCGTGCTAAGAACTGAGTGGAAGCGGCTGCAGAGGTCAGGGGAGCCCAGAGGAGTAGCTCTACTCAGCAGGGCTTCAGGAAGGCTTCTTGGAGGAGGGCCTGTGGAAGTTTGACCCCAAAAGATCCCTGCAGTTTTGTCAGATTGAGCACAGCCATCTGGCACACACCGCTCTCCAACACCGAACCCGGTCCTGAGAGCAAAGGCTGCTGCTTGGCGTGGAAGTCCTGCAGAGAGCAGAAGATCTACCTCAAATGTGCCTCCTGGGCAGAGCTGGGTGGGCTCAGACCTCACCCCATCCTCCCCTCCACAGGGCTTGGGGCCTTTCCTGCAGGCGCCTACCCGGGGGCTCTGGTGCCCGGCGGAGCGGCTGGTGCTGCTGCAGCCTATAAAGCTGCTGCCAAGGCTGGTGAGTGTGACTCTTTGGGACATGCTGCAAGACCCTCTCACCTCTGTGGGCTCTGCACTTTGCAAAAAACATTTCCTGGGAAGCAGGCAGGTGGGAATCCTCATCTCTAATCCGCTGGGGCTCAGGGAGGCCGCCAGTCTCCAAGTGAGGGGGGAGCGAGCTCGGATATCAACACCGGGCTCTCCGCGTGCACTCACATCCCTCCTGCATGACTCCTCGCCTCTCCCCCTCCTGGCTCTATAGGTGCTGGGCTTGGTGGCGTCGGCGGTGTTGGCGTTGGAGGTCTCTTAAATGGCTTAGGAGTGTCTACAGGTACGGTGGCTAGCCCTGGGTTGCCCAGGTGAAGGCTGAAGACCTGGTGACACCCACTCTGATGCGGTTCCTTCCATGCCAGGTGGAGTGGTGGCTCAGCCTGGAGCAGGAGTCGGAGCTGGAATAAAGCCTGGGAAAGTGCCGGGTCAGTGTGGAGTCCCTAGGGCTGGACATAGGTCAGGGAGGCAATGAGGCTCCTGCTCTTTACTGGGTAGGAAAGGCAGGGCCTGGCTGCAGAGGGCAGGGGAGAGAACCAGGCCCGAAGCGTGGCGCCTTGTTAGAAATCAGGGAGAGGGGCCCCAGCCTACACTCTGGGCCCTTCAGCCAGAATGGAACAGAAACAGACCTCAGAGACAGGCTCTGTGGCCAACATTTAGGTGGCAGATGGGGACACGGGCTCAGAATGGAGAGTCAGTGCAGAGGGCCCTTGGTGGTCACAGCAAAGCCAGGGTGGCCCGAGGTGCCTTGACTCCCGATCTGGTGCTCAAGCCCTTGACAAAGTGACTTCAGGTTAAACAAAAGCCTGCCTGAGTCCACACAGCAGGAGGGAACATCTGGAAGCTGTTAGCCCAGAGGTGGGCTGGGCTGGCCATGGTAAACATGCTCCAGGAGACAAGATAAATCAATGCACAGAAGGGTCAGCAGATGACTTTTAAAACTCCCGCGATGAAGGCCGCAGCCACCACACATGTGTTCCTGGCTGCCCCTGCCGGAACTGGGGTGGCTGGTTCGTGAGCCCTGGAACCGCAGAAGGAAGGGCCAGGGAAGGGGGGGTTCCTGGAGGCTGGGTTGCTGCTCATGGCTCCGCCCTCTTTTGGCCACAGGTGTGGGGCTACCAGGTGTATTCCCAGGTGGAGTGCTCCCGGGCGCAGGTAAAGTTGAAGAGGAGAAAGTACCCTATTGCAAGGAAACCATCTTCTGGTGGCCTCCTGGGAGGCTGCTCACCCCTCTGCAAGCTGAGGCCACCAGAAGCCTTCGGTCCCTAAACATCAAAGCCTGAGCTTTGATGACACAGGGCCCCTGTCATCTTTCCCCATGAAGGCCAGTCAGCTTCTCCTTGTCCCACCCAAGCCCTGACCCCAGGCCCAGACCCAGATCATCGACGCAGCCTGAGGTGGGCCCCCGAGGACACACCAAGTCCCCAGTGTGGCCAACTAATTCCCAAAAGCCATGAGTCACCAGGGAGCCCGCTCAGAGCGTCTGCCCTACAAGAGACCCTCGGAGTTGCCCTCTCACCCTCCGCTCCCTGCCAGGGTCTGGCCATCCCACCCAACATGTGACCTCCTGAATTCCCCCAAAAGCCCAGACTTAGGCTGTTCTGCAAGATTTGCTGACAGTGTCCCTCCCTCTGTCCCTCTGGCCGAGGTGGCCCAATCCCAAGTGAGACAGGAGAGGTAGGAGCACCAGACACTGGCAAATGCAGTTTCCGGCCACAGCAGATGGCTGTGTGTGTTCGTCTGTGAATGCATGTCAGGCAAGGGCCCCGAAAGGGCCCGGGCTCCCACCCGGTGCCAGCTTTTCCTGTCTGTCTTATCTGGTAAGGGTGGACAGGGGGCTGGAAATTCGTTCCGGCTGAGACGAGGCCAACTGAGGCACGAGATCACATAGCCAGGAAATGGGATTAAAATTCAGTTCTGTCAGAGAAGGAAGAAAAGTCACCACTAAACAGCCCCCACCCCACCTGAGCCGTGTTTGTCCCTGACGTCAGTGCAGAAGGTCAATTGTGTGACCCAAGGGGTGGCGAGGGTGCCAGGCTGGCGGGCCTTGGAGGCCTGCCTCCCGCCCTCACTGCCAGACCCCACTTTCCCCCCAGGAGGTCGGTTCCCAGGTGTGGGGGTGCTTCCTGGGGTTCCCACCGGAACTGGAGTCAAGCCCAAGGCCCCAGGTACGTGAACGGTGGGCTGAGGACACATGGTGGAAATCTGCACCCGCTCTCAGGACCCTATGGGAGGGGGAGTGGGAGGGGCCCTGGGGCCCTGGGCTCAGTGCCCCGTGGGTGGGCACCCCTTGTGCTCCAGCCCTGGTACATCTGGCAGAGATGGACAGAACACCTCTCAGAAATCCCAAGTATACGTGAGGGCAGCATAAGCCAGAAGATCTGGGCAGAACTGGTCACTACTAGGGCCAGCCCACCTCTCTGTGCTGCCTGGCGCCAGCCATTGGTGCCTCTACCCTGCACCCATGGTGGAAGGGCTTCAGTGACGTCTCCTCATCATTGCAGGTGGAGCCGGAGCTTTTGCCGGAATCCCAGGTGAGGCAAGAATCCCCAGTGAGTGGACAGGCCAGCAGGGTGGCCAGCCAGGCAGGGGCTCCTGCCTTGGGAGGGGCTGAGCATTCAGAATCCCATCAGGCCTGCCCAGTTTCCCTCATGCCTACTGCTCCAGGCCTTGGACTGGCTGCAGCACAAAGTGGCACCCACCACAGGTCTGCTTCCGCAGTCCCAGCCCCTCATGAGTAGCAGCCCACACCAGCCCAGAAAACCCGCCAGTCTGTGCCAAATGCTGTGGAGTGGAGTGGATTCTGCAGCTTTCTGTGGGAAATGGCCTTGCACTGGCAGGGCCCAGATGATGGGTGACAGGAAGGGATACCCTCTAGCAGGACGGTTTCTGGATGCAGTGGGAGCTCGTTCTGTCTGAGCAGAAAGTGGAAAGTGAAGCTGGGGGCTCAGCAGGAGCTGCTGGCTCAAGTTGCTAGGACCTGATTTTGCTCTCCTTGTTCCCACAGGAGTTGGACCGTTTGGGGGCCAGCAGCCTGGCGTTCCACTGGGATACCCCATCAAGGCACCCAAGCTGCCAGGTAAGTCAGAAGGAAGATTCAAGGGGCACTACTCACCAGGTCTCACTGCTGAGAGCAGCTTGTGGGGGGGCACTGTTAGGGCTACCAGTGTCTCTTGTGGGGGCCGTCAGGAAACCTGGGTACCGAACCTCACTTCTGATCGCCAGCAGAGGAAAACCTGGGGCAGCCATCCTGCAGGGGCTGGTCTCACTCACGTGCACACCTGCACACATGCACGCACAGGCACAAAGACCCACAGTCTTGACAGGAAACCACTTGTGTTGATGGGAAGAAACACTGTTCATTGGAAAGATCCCTCTGACATCCATACCCTTCCATCAGCTCACACGATGAGATGTTTCTTATTGGGGAGAGGAGTAAGGAAGCTACTCAGATGCTAGGGATCTGGCAGGGCGCCCCATCTTCCTCTCCCACCCAGGGCCTCTGCTCCCTGCTGGTGCTCTGTGAGCACCAGCCTCTGTGAGCTGCTCATGACCCTCAGGAGGGTCTCGGGCCTCTGCAGCTGTGGGACTAGATCTGTCCACCAAGGCAGTGGGAGCCCAGCAAGGCATGGGGCTGCTGCATGGCAGTGCCTGAGCCCTACCCTCTCCTCAGGTGGCTACGGACTACCCTACAGCACTGGGAAACTGCCCTATGGTGAGTAAGGCCCTGCTGGACCAGCTCTTTCCAGATGCAGGGTCCTGGCAAGGAAGCTGCAGCCCCAGCCCTGAGCTAGGGGAGCACTAGCTGGGGGTAGGGGGTGGGAAGGGAATCCCCTAAGGAAGGAATGCGGAACCTGGACTCAGACAGCTTGGTTCTCAGTCCTGGCCCTCACTCACGCTTACCACCAGGCCTTGGGGGAACCAGCTTCTCCTCTGAGCCTCAGTGTCCTAACCTGTATCGTGGGAGTAACCATCCCTCACACACATCCGAATTTGTCTTAACCCTGACTGGGGGGGACAGGGTAGAGATTCTGGAAACCCAGCCTGGAAGGGCGTGGCGGGGGGCAGCTATGGTGAGATCTGCATGGATGCCCAGTGAGCCTCTCTGTTTTACAGGCTATGGGCCTGGAGGAGCTGCTGGTGCAGCGGCCAAGGCCGGGTACCCAACAGGGACAGGTAAGGAAAGCCTCACCCCACTGCCAGCCAAAAGGGCCGTGATCACCCAGACTCCAGAGCTGGCCAGGGTCTCTCCGGAAATCAGGCCAGCCCACCCTGCATTCAGACCCCAGTCTTTGCCCGGAGAAAGATCCCGGGTGGGGCAGCTTTCTCAGTCTCTGCTGCCTACTGAGCACCCCCACCTACACCCACCGGTTCTCTTAGGGCTGGAACAGGAGGGCTCTGGAGATTCAGGGGCAATTTTTCAGTCTCTGTCTTTCCCCTCCCCCAGGGGTTGGCCCCCAGGCTGCAGCAGCGGCAGCAGCTAAAGCAGCAAAATACGGTGAGCACTTGCGGAGTCCCCGACCCCCGGCCCCCAGCTCCCCACATCTCCATCCGGGTCACCACCGAGAGCCTGCCTCGCAGAAAACTCAACAAGGCAGCTCCTCCCCAGTCTGCCCCATTCCCCCTCCTTCACTCCATCCTTTCATTCGCTCTTCCCCATCCCTCTCTCCATCATCCACCCATCCATCCATCCGTTCCTCTGCCCATCCCTTTATTCACCCTCCACCTCTCCATCCCTTCATTCCTCCCTCCCTCCGTTCTTTCATCCATCCATCCACCCACTCACCCAACTACTTATCCCTCCCTCCCTCCCTCCATTTTACAGACCAGGGACAGGTGAGAGCTTTGCTGGAGACAGTAGGTGCTGGTGTGGGAATCAGGGAGAGGGGATATTGTTTCTACCGGGAAGAGAAAATCAAGAAGCCTTCTCAGAAGAAAGGATACTGATTGAGGCCTTAAAATATAGGTGGAGTTTGTCATGTGGTTAAAACAGGAAGAAGGAGCTCTTGCACAGGGAATGGGTACTACAGTGGTTAGAGAGATTATTTTAAGTGGGACCTATATGAGCATTTAAAAAATTTAATAGTCTAGTACCAATTTAGTGTGTACTATAAAATTTTTAACTAGCTCCTCAAACTCATGACGCCTTGGCTGGCAGACATGCCATGTCCTTCCCTGTCCCCATGAGAGGAGCAGAGTGGGCATCTGTCCCCCTGCCCCAGGTAGTTCCAGTTCGGACTCAGATCACTGGGGCTAATGTCCTCACCTTCACCCCCAGGGCCAGGGAAGCCCTTATGGAAGGGACAGAAAACATCTGCCCACCAGCCAAGGGGACGAGAATGCGGAGTGGAGGACTAGGCTGGAGGCCTGCCCCAAGGAGGCCCCACGGTCCCTCCCTCCAGGACCCTAAGGGTGGAATGTGGGAGCAGGAGAGCAGGGCGGCAAGGGGCTGCCAGATCCAGGCAGCCAGGCACTTGGATTACAACTTGGCCGAGTCTTCGGAACACAGGGAGAGGAAGCCTTGAACATTCCTTCAGGGGCCTCTCTGGCCCGGGGAGCGGCCGCTTGTGGTTTCTCAGTATGTGGCAGTGATTAGAATGGGATTTGTCTGAAAACATACAAGTCCCTTAATGAGTGTGTTGAAATGGACACTTTGGGGGTGAGTCAATGAACAGTGGGGTGGGGGCCTTCTAAAGCAGGCTCAGCCAGAGATGCCTGGGCCACATTCCCAGAGGAGATCGTGCTAGTTTAAACGCCAGCATCTGCGTGGCCTTTCTTCCTGGCCTCAGAGAGGCCCCAGGAGCTATGTCTGCTCTGTCCCCATCCCAGCAGGTGCTGGAGGAGCCGGAGTTCTCCCTGGGATTGGAGGGGCTGGTGCAATTCCTGGGATTGGAGGAGTTGGCGCAATTCCTGGGATTGGAGGCATTGCAGGTAGGGTCTGTTCCAGCAGGGGCGGGGTGTCCTTGAGAAGGCCTCTTGGGGAAAGACCTCACCCTCTGTGGCTGTCTTGTCTCTCCAGGGGCTGGGATTCCAGCTGCTGCTGCAGCTGCTAAGGCAGCTAAATATGGTGAGTACCCCCAGGGGAGGTAGGCCTGAGGCTCCAGCCTGCCCTCAGACCCTTGGGGCCTGTTCAGTCCTCCAAGGCTAGATGGACTTTGCCTTCATGCATCTGTGGAAACCACTTCCACCTCCCCAAACATGGCTTTACCCATTCTAGCCATTCTGCCAGGCCCTCTCTGTTGTTCTCCACTGACTGGTCTAGCATTGGGGGGGGGGGGGACCACTGTGGAGCACCTGGCTCCTCCCTCCCTCCTCCCAAGGCCAACCCATAAATGCTGCTCCAACTGCCTGTGTGCTAGTGGTACGCTCTGAATTTGTTTTAGACACAGACCATGTTCTCCCCATCCACATTCCCAAACCTTTAGCGCTCTGTAGGCAATGCCAGCCCACCTGGGATTCCACACTCAGGACCTGCCATTCCCGCAGCTCCCCAGAGCCACGCCCTTGGAGGCCCTCTGAGGTTCCCATGGGGTTTGGGCCAGAACAATCCTTTCCTCCCACAGGAGCTGCTGGAGGCTTAGTGCCTGGTGTCCCAGGAGTTGGAGTCCCAGGTGTTGGAGTCCCAGGTGTTGGAGTTCCTGGTGTTGGGGTCCCAGGTGTTGGGGTCCCAGGTGTTGGAGTCCCAGGTGTTGGAGTCCCTGGTGTTGGAGTCCCTGGTGTTGGAGTCCCTGGTGTTGGAGTTCCTGGTGTTGGGGTCCCAGGTGTTGGGGTCCCAGGTGTTGGAGTTCCAGGTATTTTGGGTAGACCAGGTGAACTGGACTCTGTGTGTGTGTATATAAGAGAAATATCAAAACTATTGCCAAGACTTTTAGATTCTCCCTAACACTTCACTCATCTATCATCTTCTCCCATACCCTTGGCCATAACTTATCTTCTCTCCCTTGGGTTATAACAAGATCCTAACTAGTTACTGCCAGCATTGTCTTCTCCAACTCACCTCTGGCTGTCAGTGTGACCCTGGGGGAAGGAAGCATGCCTTTGTCATCTCTGTGTTCTCAGCCCTTAGCTAAATAGTTGCTCAGTAAATAGTGGGTAAATGGGTGGGTAGGTGGACGGACAGATAGATGGGCAGATGGGCAGCTAGGTATGTGGGTGAATGCCCATGTGGATGAGTAGAGAAGTTGCTGGATAAGAGGATGAATGAGCAGATACAAGGATAGATAAATACACGAATGAACAGATACATGAGTAAAATGGTAGATGGGGAGATGAATGGATAGATGGAAGACAGGTGGAAAAGCAGGGGAGGGACTAGATAAGTGGTTTGAATGATGGATGGATGAATAGATAGATAGATAGATAGATAGATAGATAGATAGATAGATAGTGGATAGATGGATGGATGGGTGAGCATGTGATTGGAGGAGGAGGTGGGCAGGGGCAAGTGAAAAAGAGATGGTTGGATAGATCATTTGATGAATGGGCAAATGAACAAATAAATGATTGGATAGATGGGTGCATGAATGGGCAGAAAGATAAGTGGTTGAGTGGTCGAAGTCTAAGGATAGACAAACAAATGGAGAGATACAATGGGTAGGTAAGTGGGTCGATGAACAGGGGGCTAAGTACACAGATAAATAGATGGAGATGTGAGTGGGTGAATAGATAGACATCCATTGGATTGGCTTGATAGAAATAGACTGGACAGATGAGTGAAAAGTTAATGTACATTGAACATTTACCATCCATGCTCTCCTAATCACTTGGGTTCACTTGGGTCTCTCCAGGGGCTGTGTCACCAGCTGCAGCTGCTAAAGCAGCCTCCAAAGCAGCAAAATATGGTGAGTGTGCTGATAGCTGTACTTCATCCTACCCTGTTCTGGCCAGAGAAAGGGCATGGCTTGGCCAGGGTTAGCCAGCAAGTCACTGGCAGAGCTGGGAAGTTGGACCTGTTGGGCTCCAGGATGATGTCTCCCCAGTGGACTCCCACCATGAGGCCATGGAGCTGAGTGATGGGAGAGTCCTCTATGGCATTCCCAGTGGGGACCGTGTCTCTGACCTTCCCTGGCCCAGCCAGGGCCCCTCTCCGTGGAGCCTGAGTCTGGCTGGGGAAATGGGACCTGCCCATAGCCTCCCCACAGCCACCAAAGGGGCCCTATCCCAATCAGAGAAGAGAGGGGTTGGAGAAATGCTGGGGGCAGGGTGGGGGCTGGTTATCAGTAAAGGCTTCCTGAAAAAGGCTGTGGGAGGCCCAGGCATTCTGTGATTTACTGTCCTTCAAGGACCAAATTTGTGTGAGGCTTGCACCCACTTCCCCAGCCCACCAGCATTCCCTGGGACCCTCCCAGTCTCTCACTGAGCTCCTTTTCTATTCAATTCTCCTCCTTCCAAAGGGGCAGAACCAGAGTGGGAGTTGAAGGTATTCCCACTCATGGGGTTGGTGCTGGGGGCTTTTCAGGTCTTGGAGCTGTCCCTGGAGCTATTCCTGGAGCCATCCCTGGAGCTATTCCTGGAGCCATCCCTGGAGCCGTCCCTGGAGTTGTCCCTGGAGCCATCCCTGGAGCCATCCCTGGAGCCGTCCCTGGAGCCATCCCTGGAGCCATCCCTGGGGTTGTCCCTGGAGCCATCCCTGGAGCTGTCCCTGGCATTTCCCGTGAGCCCTAGTTCCATCTGGGGAAACCGGGAGAAGGCATGGGGGCTTCTCTTCTGCAGAGCTCTAGGGGGAGTGGGAAAGTGTTGACTGGGCTTCAGCGAGCTCAGGGGGAAGCTGGGGAGAGCACAGAGAGGGCCTGAAGTGCCTCTCTGGGCAGGAGAGCAATCAACACAGCCCCACTGGGGTCCAGTGAGGTTTCTAAGGGTCTGTTTCATTTTCTTGTAGCTGCGGCCGGGGCAGCAGCCGCTAAGGCAGCCAAGTTTGGTACGTGTCCCCGCCCTGCATGCCTCCATGCCCAGGGCATGCCCAGGGCAGCATTCTTCTCTCCTGGGGCTCGTGCTTTCCCCTCCTCTCCACCCCAGCCCTGCCCTGCCCTGGGACCCAGGCTCTGAGCTCAGAGCAATTTGCCAGCATCGGGACAGAGCAAGCTCACACTCAGGCCTCCAGGGCTGAAATGGTTTGGGCTAAGATTGGAAGCCCCTGACCCCATCTTCCAAAGCTGCACTGAACTTTTCTGCCCTTTTCAATTCCCCATCATTAGGATTATTGGTGCCCAGCTTATCACCCCACCCCAAACCAGTGAGTTAAAGGTGCTCACTGAAGCCACTCTGGTCTCCTCCCCACTCCTAACCCTCTGCTCCCTCAAGGATGGGGAGCTTCTAGGGGCACAGCTAGACATTCTCTTTACTCCTCTAGGTGCTGGAGGAGCAGGAGCCGTGGGAGGGCTGGTGCCAGGTGTCGGAGGTTTAGTACCAGGTGTACCAGGTGTGCCAGGTGTCGGAGGCGTGCCAGGTGAGCTGTGTCTCCAACCCAGAGTCAGGTGTGGTTTGTCTCATGGAAGGGGTCTTGGAGGTGACTCAGGTCAAGTGCACCATTTTAAAGATGGCAAGACTGAGCCCAGAGATGGGGAGGAGGGGAAGCAATGTCCCCTACTTTGGGGGAAAGAGCCCTTATGCGATTCCAGTCTGTAGAACGAACCTGGCAAGTCCCTCCCTCAGGGATGCTCAGGACGTCCAGACGTCAGCCAGCTGAGCAGAGGAGCTCTGCTCTGTCCGAGTGGGGTGGCCCCATTTACTCTGGGGTCCTTTCTGTCGCTTACCAGCTGGAAGGGCATGTGTCCCCCTTGGGTCCCCCTGCACTCTTTATCCTCCACCAGTCACAGGCCAAAGGGAAGAAATTAGGAGATATACCAAGATGAAGTTACATCCTTCCTTGGTGGTTTTTTCCTACCAGCAGATTTCTCTCCTAGATTCCTTCTTTCTGGGACAAAATTCCCCTTTTGAGTTTCCCTCCAAAATGAGATATTTCCTCTAACAGTTTTGGATACAGACACAATAAAGATTTTTTAAAAATTAACATCATCTTTAGCAGAATGCTTCACAAATATTTGAGGCAAAGGTTTGGAAAGGACCTAGACCTTCGCCAGTCAGATTTGGGCTGCCACCGCCACAGTCCAAGCTAGACTGTTGCAGTCTGTGGGCTGTTTTCAAGGAAGGGGTGTGCCCAGGGCAGCTGGTGGGCCACCCTCAGAGCGGGCCTGGAGCCTGGGCGGCCTGACTCAGGCTGGGCTCTGCTGGGTTCCGCTTCTGTCTCTGTGTCTGGTGTGAAGAGGCAGCCCCAGAGAGGGTCTTCTGGGAGAAGGGATAGCGCCCCAGAGGCGGACTCTGGGAGGTCTTTCCAAAATGGGGGTGGGGGAAAGTGAGGAGGGGTACAAAAGACCCCCTCCCCAATCCCCTCTCTTCACCCTCCCAGGTGTTGGGACCCCAGCAGCTGCAGCCGCTGCAGCAGCCGCTAAAGCTGCGCAATATGGTAAGGTCCCACCCCAATTCTGCTCCGTGCTCATCCTATAGCACTGCTCTCTCATGTCCCCTGTTCTGGGGTCTGGGAGCCCCCCGAAGCTGTCACATCCTCACTGTGGGTCTTTTGACCCATCTGTCCACTTTTAGGGTGTGGGTAAAGTCTCTGATTAGGAAAGCAAAGTGAGAACAGGCCCTGGGGAGCCCCGCCCCGGGACCAACTTCCCCACCCTTCCCAAAGTTCCTGCTGCCCCTGGGTCTAGCTGGGGCCCACCCCACTTCCAGACTTCAACTTGGGCTCCTCTGGTTCCCACCCCCTTGGTAGCAGTATTTCTTGTTCTCTGACAAGGTTCTCCAACTCTCCATGCAACTGAGGGCCACCCGGGCAGCCCCAGCTGCCTCCACCTCTCTGAATACAGAGAACGGCAGTAGCCCCAACTGAGAGCCCGGCCGTCTGCCAGGCCTGGGCCAGGGCGTCTGCACACCTTGGCTTTAGGGACCTGTGGGCAGCAAGATTCAGATCAGAAAACCTAGGGCTGTCTAGACCACAGGAATCTTAATTTTAGGTCCACTGACCCCCAAACTCATGTATGACAAATGACCCCTTTTTTGTAAAGCTGCCATTGGCCGAGGCAATCTTTACAGCAAGTTTATGAAGTTGGTGCCGTTCTTTCCATTGTGCAGATGTGGCAACTGAGGTTCTGAGAGCTTAAATCACTTGCCCATTGTCACACGGCTAGATGGTGGCTGAGCTGAGCTTTGAACCCACATCTGTCTATCTTACAGAGCAGCCTTTACTACATAACTCTGCCTCCTTGACCCTCAGAGGTCTCCAACAGGTCCTCGCCCCTCCAGGCGTTAAGGACTCCTGGTCCTACACGTGCCTCACCTTAGGGGTGATGAAGCTGAGATGCATCAAGGGAAAATAATCTTTCCAAGGTCACTCAGCCATTCTGTGCCCCATGCGGGATGGAAACCCAAGGCTCCTGACTCCCAGCTCACTGCTCTTTCCATTACCTTCTGTCCATCTTGGTTGGAACCGGGTTAAGGATCAGTTCTTCTCACTCTCGTAGGGTTAGGCCCTGGCGCTGGCGTGGTTCCTGGCGTTGGCGTTGGCCCTGGTGCTGGTGTGGTTCCTGGCATTGGCATTGGTCCTGGTGGTGTTGCAGGTGAGCTATGTGAGGAAGTGGGCCTGAGGACCCACTATGGGTGGGTGACATCCTGATGCCCCCTCCCTCTCTTTTCAGGAGCAGGGGTGCCAGGTGCAGCCAAATCTGCTGCTAAAGTGGCCGCCAAAGCCCAGCTCCGTGAGTGCCCTGCCTGGCTTTCCCTCCTCACCCCGCTGAGCCCAGGCCATCCCAGCACAACCCAAGCAGGAGCCGCTCCCTACAATATGCAGCTTCTCAGGCCTGCTTTAGAGACTGGGGGATCCCCGAGGGGGCAGGTGGAGGGGTGGGAAAAGCAGATTTAGTGTAAGGGAGGCCCAGGCTCGAATCCAAGGTCTCACACTGAGTGCCTGGCCTCTGAGCTTCTTGTCCTCGTGCACAGTGAGGGAGCGCTGAGGGCATCCACAGCAGAAGGCTGTTGGGAGCATTAGATGAGCTCAACTGAGAGGGGAGGGGAGGAGGTCAGCCTGGAAAAGAAAGTGGTGTACTGAGCGTGCACCCCTGAATACCGGCTGGGGGAGGGGCCAGACTCGGCGTTCAGTGGGAGTTTCAGGAAGGCCATTCTGGTGGCAGCATAGAGAGTGGATTAAGGGGGTCTGGTCCCATTCTCTCGGGGCCTGACTCAGCTCCCTGGGCGGGACACCCCCAAGGGGGCACGCTCCACGCCTGCTGTAGCCACCCACTACTGATCTTTCCCAGGGGCTGCAGCTGGCCTTCCTGCTGGTGTTCCCGGATTTGTGCCTGGTGCTGGCGTTCCCGGATTTGTGCCTGGCGCTGGAGTTCCCGGATTTGGGCCTGGCGCTGGTGTTCCTGGCTTTGGGGCAGGTAAGGGGTCTTCCAGGCTGGACAGAAGTGACCCCTGAGCTCAGAGGAGGGAGACCTCTCCCCTCCCAGCACCTAGTAAATTCCCCACTAGGTTCTCCTGAAGCAGTCAGAGATGCCTAGAGTAACAGAGGTGGGACAGGCCAGGCGAGGATGTCCTGGGCTGACATGTCACAGTCGCTACCTCCCCAGGGAAGGGGTCACAGGCCTCCCAACCAGAAAGAATCCCATCATCCAGGGGAGGAAACTGGAGGTCCCTGGACTCCAAGGCCGTAGGTGGGCCAGGCTGGCTCCCCTTCAGCAGTGCGCCACGGCAAGGGCCCCTGGGAGCTTCCAGTTCTTCGCCTGGTGGTTACTGGCCCCGCTCTGTGTGCAGCCTCAGGTGGACCACACCGGACCTGAGGGGGATGGGAGGGGCGGATGGGAGGAGGAGGCGCCCCCAGACCAGACTGGCAGAGGCATGGTTAGACACTGGAGATCCACCGGGCAGGGCGAGCTCCTGGCTGGGGAGCCACAGCTTCAGGGCTTTGAGAGAAGCAAAGAAGGCCAGAGAAGGCAAGGAGGGCTTTCAGGAGGAAGCAGAACCCGTAAGCACAGAGCATAGCTACTGACCACCCCATGATTCTTTTTCCTTTTTCTATAGTACCTGGATCTCTGGCTGCCGCTAAAGCAGCCAAATATGGTGAGTACTCCCCACACTGACCACCATGGTTGGTTCCACTACCGCCCCATCATCCCTGGCAACACCTGGTCACCCACCTCCCCTCCCCCGGCCCAGGGCCCCATGCCTAGAGCCTGCAGCACAGAGCTGGGATGGTCAGGATGGAAAAAGGCAGTTTCTAGGACGCATTCACGGCAGCTTAGCAGACCTGGCACCCGACTACCAAATGCCTGTTGAGCCTCCAGCCCTGGGACAACCAAACACACCCCTCACATTTTCAGCCTTCCTGAGGGCAGTTCTACCTGGGTAAAAGCCATGGTCCCTAAGTCACCTCTGGTCATCACAGTTTTGTGGGCCTCCGGGTCACAGAGGGGCCAGGGTTGCTGCCAGCTCAGCGGCTTCTGCCTCCTAGCCAGCAAAGGCCCCAGTCCCCCACCCACCTCCCTGTCAGCATGACTGCGCCTGCCACGAGCCACGAGGACGTGGCAGACATGCCTGCCCCTCCACTTGGCACGCAGCAGCCCTGGCTGTCCAGACCCACACTGTCTGTGGCCCCCAAATTCCTGGCCTCCTGGGAGTCAGGCCAGGGCCTCTGCTAGGGAAACACCACCCCGCCCCCAGCCAGTCCACTTGGGGCCAGTTTCCACCTCGGAAAATCCCAGCTTCCTCGGCCCCCACCCCTGGCGGGCCTGGTGACCCACAGGCCCTTCTCCTGTTCCTTGCTGGCTGCTCTGCAGCCTGAGTCTAGCAGACATTGCCAGGGAAACAAAGCAGTTAAGGGCACAGGCTCCAGAGCCATTTCCTGCCTGCGGGACCTCGGGCATATTGCTTAACCTCTGCTGTGCTTCAGTTTTCTCACCTGCAAAATGGGGATGATATTAGTACCCACCTCCCCTGTTACATGGAAGAATAAGCATGCTAATTGTGAAACGCATTGAGAAGGGTGGAATTCCTGCCGCTGCTATTCCCAGCAGCTCTGCCCTGGACAGTGCTTCAAAACTCAGAGTATGTTTACAGATGTCGTGCTCTTTTCCTCTCCAAACACCTGCAGGGTGAGCGGGCTAAGGATCCTCACCTCCTCTAGGGAGGCGTGGCTCTGGAGCTCAGAGAGGCGCCAGCTCTAATAAGTGGAGAAACCAGGATTTGAACTCAGGGCTGTCAGAGCCTGAGATTAGTCTTCTCCCCCGGGCAGTATGTGGCTATCGCTTGTGACCACCTGCGGCTCTAGTGCTGGCCCAGGGGGATGGAGAAAATGATGTGCAAGCCAAGGCTCCAGGGGGCCTCCTGTTGCCTGATTGGTCAGGGACACCAGCCCAGGCATCTGGAAATGGCCTTCTGTCCAGTGCTCCTTCCACCGGTCACATGACCTCGACCGCTTGTCTGCTTGACTAATAATGTCCCTGGGTCGGGAAGACTCTGTCCTTCAGAAATGAGGGGACTAACCCTCTGCCCCCTCTCCTCAGGAGCAGGCGTGCCTGGGGCGCTTGGGGTGCCTGGGGCACTGGGAGTGCCCGGAGCCCTCGGAGTGCCTGGGGCTCTGGGGGTACCTGGAGCCCTCGGTGGAGTAGGTGTCCCAGGTGGTGTGGCAGGTGAGTTGAAACCCCGGGACGGGCTGGGCAGGGAGGGAGACTGACCCATGGAGCATGGCTTTCTGAGCTCCCTCTGTGTCCCCAGGAGCTGGACCTGCTGCCGTGGCTGCCGCCACAAAGGCTGCTGCCAAAGCTGCCCAATTTGGTGAGCACTATGTGGAGGTGGGCGCTGCCCCCCAGGTCCCAGGGTCTGGGGAGCCTCCGACCGACTGTGCGCTGTGCAGCCCTATTCCCTGACCTGCCCCTAAGGCCCTCGGGGGCATCGTCTCCCCAAGGCCCAGCCCGTCTCCTGGCCCCACGGCGCCTACAAAGGCCCTGCAAGCTCAGGCTCCACCTGGTCCTGGGATGAAAACTCCACAGATGAGCAGCAGGGGTCCCACTGGTCGGGTTTTAACACACAGCTCTCTCCACAGGCCTGGGGGGAGCCGCTGGGCTCGGACCTGGCGGGCTTGGAGTCGGAGGACTGGGAATTGGAGGGCTTGGGCCTGGTGGAGTTGTCCCAGGGGTTGGGGGCCTCGGAGGTAAGAGGCTGTTCAGGAATCAGTGAATGTATACTGTGTGTGTGTATTTGTGTGTGCGTGAGAGAGATTTTCCTTCCTACCTTACTGCATTTTGTTCAAGCTGTCTTCTCTGCCCCAACCCCAACCCCACTTCACTCATCACTCAAGCGCGTGGTGGGCAGGCCCCACGCCTGGGCTTCCACAGCAGGCAGAGGGGGCCTTGAGCAAGCAGAAGCCAGGCTGCTTCCTGCAGCTGGGGTCCCACCTTCTCCCTCTCCTCTGTCCTTCAACTCACATGACCGCTTCCAGTGGGAGTTCATTAGGATAATGGCGGTTATGCCCGTTTTCTAGAGAAGGAAACCAGAGCACGGAGGAAATAGCTTTTCCAAAGCCTCTGCCGTCCTGGCAGGCCTTGTGTCGACATCTCACGCTTCTTGGGGCATCACTGTACCTCCCTACACAAACCTGCCTAAAGTCTCTTCCTGTGTGCACCACAAGACGGGGCACACAGTGGGAGCTTAATAAAGACTTTCGGAAAGAGGATGGAGGAGGGGTGGAAGGACAAGTCGGTGGGCCGATGGCGGAATGGGGAACAGGACGGGAGAGGGACATGACTGGCAGGGAGGGCTATTCCTGAGCCCTCATTGCCCCATCTCCCCAGGTGTGTCCCCAGCTGCAGCTGCTAAAGCAGCCAAATATGGTGAGTCGCTCCCTGCTGCCCTCCTCCTGCCCAGGCCTGAAGGCCGCTAATACTCCCCGTCCTGACTGCCCCATCTCACCTACCTCAGGCCTCAGCCCTGCTTGAAGCCCCATGACAGGCTGTCCAGGATTTTCTTGACCCCAGAACCCAAAGGGGGTGCCCAGGGCCCCTTCGACTGTGCCTTGTCCCAAACCCCATCTGCCCTCTTCTCAGGTGCTGCTGGCCTTGGAGGAGTCCTAGGAGCTGCCAGGGCGTTCCCAGGTGCAGGTAGGGGCCATCTCTGCTGCGAAATCGTCCCCTCCGCCCGGGTCCAGAGAAGGCCTGTGGCGCTGGCAGGGGAAGTCCTAGAGCCGCAGCTAGCAAGGACATGAGCAAGAGGGCAGAGGGGGCAGTCAAGGAGAGGAAACATCCTGGGCAAAGCAGTTGGGGGTGCACCACGGGCCTCAGGCGCCAGGCTGACAAGCCGAGGCTATGGGGCCCCACACCAGGATGCCGGGCAGGGACAAGGTTTGTGGAGAAAGCCACTCTGGCTATGGAGGATGAGGAGGAGGAGGTGCTGGGCAGAGAAGAAGAGAGGACGAGGTTAGAGGCGGGCCTGACGCCTGCTAACCACAAGTCCCTCCTGCAGGAGCAAGACCTGGCTTCGGATTATCCCCTATTTTCCCAGGTATGCCCTCGCTTCCCCCCCCCCGGGCTGCAGCTCTGGCTCCATCCTTCCCCTCCCCTGCTTCATCTCCTGCTCGGGAGGCCTGAGCCAATCCCCAGGACGAACCCCATGACCTTAGTTACACCAGGCTGGTCTCCCCCTGATTTTTTCTTCCTCCCCTGCAAGGCCAGGGAGCAGCAGCTTTCCTAGAACGCCATGTTCTAGATGGGGTAAACTGAGGTTCATCGAGCGCCAGGTGCTCACCCAAGGTCACGCAGTGACTGAGGCGGGGCCAGGGCTCTGAGCACCTGAGCGCAGAGTTCAGCCCCCCTCAGGCGAGGCCCACGCTGCCAGGGGGGCTCGGAGGGGTAGGCCCGGCAGAAAGCGGGGAGATTGGAGGAGCTGGACACCTCACCCGTTCCTTCTTCTGCCTCTGACACAGATGATCAGATCTGGGGGTAGGCCCAGAGCCCTTCATGCTCCCTGGGGCTGGGCCGGGCCTAGCAGTCCCCTCCTCCCTGCTGCCACACGCCCTGCAGGAAGGAGCCAAGGGAAAGAGAAGGGAGGTGGAGGAGGAGGAGGAAAGAGCTCAAAGGAGCAGAGACAGGGAGAGAATGGATGAGACAACCAGGGCCCTAGAGTTAGGGGATCCGAAGGGTGGAAGGGGGACCCAGGCTGCCCAGGCTGGGCAGAGGAGGCAGAGGACACTACCGGGCACTGAGCCACGCCCTTGCTCAAAAATGCACACGTGCCTCTGGAAGTGTGTGGGCTGGGTCCTGATCACCACCCCCGGAGTTCTGCCCAGCAACGCCGACAGAGACTCAGAAAAACCCCAGCTCCACCCCTGTGGTCGCTCAGACTATGCATCCCTTCCACCCCCACCTGCTTCCCACTACACAGATGAGGCAGCTGAGGCAAGGCCGGGGCTCGGAGAGCAGAGGCAAGAGCAGCCTGACCCTTCCCGGGCACGTAGTGATGCCTGCGGCCCTATCCCACTGCTTCCCCAAACACCCTGGATGAGCCTCGGAGATGCCCGTCCCTGCACCACTCGGCTTCTCGCTGCCACCAGGTGGCGGTAACGAGCCATGCCTATCTCCCAAAGGGATAGGAACTACTCAGGGCCCGACTACCAGGCAGTGTTGCCTAGGTTAGAAACAAGGTTTACCAATCAGACCTTCCCCAGGAGAGGGCAGGGATTCTGGGTTCCTGTCCCAGGTCAGCCACTGACTGGACGTGTAAGACTCTCTCCGCTCACTTGTCTGAGGCACTGTCATGTTTCTCTATCACAGCATTTCCCTTGAAGGGGGGCGGCCCTGAGTCACTCGCTAAAGGCTTCCCAGATATGTCGAACTCACAGCTTGGAGAGCTTGTCCAGGCCCATTCCTTCCGGGACCTGGCCGCAGGCCCCCTGACCTTTTCCCTTCTCTGCGCCTTGGTTTTGTCAACCACATCTTGAGCCCTGGTCCCGCCCACCTGTCTAGTGGGAGTTTGTACAATGAGTGTGGTGCCGTCCAGGCTTCTGGTGGCTTCTTGGAGCCCCTGTTCCCCACCACGATGATGTTGTTCAGTGGGCAGCGGCTTGAGCAGCAATGAGGAGGGCCTGGGCTAAGTGTCACGTATGCCTCCCCCGACCCAGGTGGGGCCTGCCTTGGGAAATCCTGTGGCCGGAAGAGAAAGTGAGCTTCCCAGAACCCCTGACTCACGACCTCATCAACGTTGGTGCTACTGCTTGGTGGAGAATGTAAACCCTTGTGACCCACCCCCCACGCCCCCTCCTAAGTCCCCACCTCTGGAGGGGACAGGGCTGGCCGGGCGGACTTGGAAATCCACAGGACAAGGAAACAAGAGAACGGTGGCCAAGTGGGCCCCGGGAAGCCCCCTACTTCAGAGGCAAGGGGTGGGTGGGCTCGGCCCCCTGCCCCCACCCCCTTCCCACCAAGGTGCTCCCTCTACACACTCTCCATCTCCAGGGGAACTTGGTGCTAAGTGTTGGTGCTTCATCTTCCTGGGGGAGGGAGGAGGGAAGGGCAGCCCCCCCAGGAAGCCTCCTCCCTGGGGCTCCCCTGAAAATGGTGCAGACACTTTGTGGGCAGTCCTACCTCCCCCTGCCCACCAGGACCCACCCCTGGCTGCGGTCCAGTTGGTACCCAATCATCGAAAACCTCAGGCTGCATTCGGTCACACCATCTCTTGGCCTCTTTAATGCCCCTTCCCCCCCCCCCCAATCGCTATTCCCCATGCCCCAGGCACCTTCAGATCAGAAGAACCCTGAAGCAAATAGCCCTCTTTCTCTTGTGGAATTCATCCGCCCATCTGTCCATCCATCCATCCATCCTTGTCCCCACTTGACCACAGGGCACCACAAGCTGGCCGGGCACCCCACCATCAACCTGGTTAACCTGTTGTGGCAGCCTGTGCCCTGCCTTCGCCCCAACTCCACACACCCCTACGAAGGGGCCTGGGGCGTGGGGGCTCGTGCCAGCTGGGGCACGGGACCCCCCTCCCGAGCCTGGGTTTCCCCACGCAGTACTGTATCCCCCGACCCTCCCTCGAGCCACTGCATTTCACAGCCCCTCCCGCCCCGCCCCGCCCCGCCCATCTCTTTGTGTCTCGCTGTGATAGATCAATAAATATTTTATTTTTTGTCCTGGATATTTGGGGATTATTTTTGATTGTTGATGTTTTCTCTTGGTTTTACTTTTGTGGTTAATTAAAAAAAAATCTATATTTTTTCTGATCTGGGGAGCTATAACCCCAGAAGAAAATTCATTTTAATCACTTTGGTATAACGCTGGATGAAACACACATTTTTTTTTTAATAAGAAAAGAGAATTAACTGCTTCAAAAAAGACTAATAAATGAAAACATTTTAAAGGAAACTGTGTCTTGGCCTCCTTTGTAACCCCTCATCTGCTGGCAGCTCCTGGCCCAGGCAGGGAAACAGAACTTGGCCTTGGGGAACCTCCACCGTTCACGGTGCATTTACGGGGGCTGCTTACCAGAATCCCCCGCCGTCGGCTTCTGGTGTATGGTCCTTCTCCAAGTTCACACTGTCCTCTAACAATTAAAGCCTCTCTGGAGGGGAGGCTGGGCCGGCCGGTCCCACACACACCCGCCCACAGCAGGTCTCCTCTGGTGGGCTCACCTGCCCAGCCACGCCTTCCCCAGCCCTCACCCCCCAGGGCCCCGTTGCGGCCTCCAGCACAAGGGTGGGCCTGGAGGCGTGGAGTGAACAGACAGACCCTCCTATCCAGACCAGACCCTTGGCCTTGGTGAACAGCGATACGGAGAGGAGAAAACGGTACCACCTAAGAAAACTAGAAGACGTGTTTTCCTCTGAAATATCCACTCCCACAGTCATGTAAGGAACCACTTCACTGCTTTATAAAGCGGAACAAATGTCACCCTGCAGGCAGCACTGGGAAACCCAGTACCACTCTTAGGCGTACCCATCCCCAGGGACATCCCCTGCCCCTTGGGGCCAGAAATCCGTGGGGCCCGAGGACATGCCTACGACTCCCTTCTAGACTATTCTGGATACCAGGTTCTGGAATTCTTTCCCCAAACCACCAAATTCACTTGCAGGAACCACATGGTCTCATGCCACGTGTGGCCTCCTGAGGGTGGACCCCAGGGCCAGGGACACACTCCTAAGCCAGAAGGGTGGCACAGGAGCTATTTGTCGGGAGCGTGGGTGGAGTCGGCAGACTGAACTGCTTTGTATTTGTTCGCAGGGCCCTCTGAGTGCCAGAGGGAGTGGGGCCGAAAAGAGAAAAGGGATGGGATGGTGCTCAGAGGTAGCTTCCTAGGGAGTAACAGAGAACAGACAGCAATCTATCACACTAAGAACAAAGCAGGGAGGAGGGTCATGCCTTTTGGGCAGGGAGAGCAGCCTGCGTAAAGGCCTAGAGGGCAGGGCAGTAAGAATGCCCCAGTGGGACCCGAAGGATGGAGGAAGGATCTGAAGTTGGTAGGGGGTGGATTCATAAAGACCCACAGGGGCTGCTGTGAGAAGGGACAGCTTGCCTGAGTAGTAGCAAAGGAGAGTCATTCATTTATTCCTTCAACAAAAATATCCCTTTCTGATCCCTCTTAAGTTCTCTGGCCTCCAAAATGTGGCCAATCCCAGGTGGGGGCATCCCTGCTTTTTGGCTGCCTATGATTCGTGCCTTTAAATACTGTCTATGAACTGGTAACTCCCAAACTGACAACTCAAGGCATAGAACTCTATGCAGCTGCAGACTTGCCCACCAAGGGCCAGTTCTTAATATCTCTACCTGGAAGTCTTATCCCTGCATAGCATGGTCCCCACTTCTATCCCCAGCCCCAGACTTTCCCAGCTCAGTAAATGAGCAGCTGGATTGGCCAGCAGCTTGGAGCCACTCGAGTCCTCTCGTCCTACTCACCGTAGCAGACTGACCAGCAAACCCTGCGGCAAATCTGCTTTCAGGAGATATCCAGAGTCTAGCCACTTCTCACAACCCCCAGGGGTCACGCTCTGGTCCACCAGCAGCTAGTGTCTGAATTACTGACACAGCTTCCTAAATGGGCTCCCTGATTCTGCCCTGGCTCTCCAAGAGGCCTTCTCTCCACAGAGTAGCCAAAACAATCCTCCCAAAACTTAAGTCAGTTCAGGTCATGCGTCTGCTCAGAATCCTGCAGTGGCTCTCATCTCGCTCAGGCACAAAGCCAGCAGTCTTTCAATGGCTAGAAGCCCCTACCTGAGTTGCACCAGCTGCCCTGACTTCACATCCTGCCACTCAGCCCTCCAGCAGGCCATGTGGCTACATGGACCCTATGGTTCACTCTGTAGGCAGCAGGCCGCCCACTGCAGGCCAACGCGACTGCTGTCTCTCCTGCCCAGGACGCTTTCCTCAGCTGTCAATGTGCTTGGCTCCCTCATTTCCTTCACGTCTTGACTCAGACGTCACCCTCTCAGAAGGTCCTTCCCTATCCCCTTTCTAAAATAGCAACCTGTACCCTTCCCCGTGCAGCAGTCCCTCACACGCCCCTGCCTTTTCTTCCTCCAGAGCACCTGTGTGACCAAGTAGACTTCCTTCTTGTTTTTATCATCTGACTCTCCATACCAAAATGTAAACCCCTGAGGATAGACACTGCTTTAAGAACAAAATAGATAAAGTCCCCACTTCACTAGTTAGACTCTCTGGTAGAGAGATGATGTGCTGGCAATGGCCCTAAAGATACCCGGTTTCTAATCCCTGGAGCCGTATAAATATTACTGTATTCATCTGCTCGAGCTGCCACGACAAAGGACCACGGACTGGGTCGTTTTAACAACAGAAATTTATTTTCTCACAGTTCTGGAAGTCCAGGATCAAGATGTTGGCATCTTGATTAGAGGTCTCCTTCTGAGACTTCTGTCCTCGGCTTGCAGACGGCCGTCTTCTCCCTGCGTCCTCACAGGGTCTTCCCTCTGTGCATTTGTGTTCTAAACTCTTCTTGTAAGGGCATCGGTTTTACTGGACTAGGTTCTACGCTAGTGACCTTATTTTAACCTAGTTTCCTCTTTAAAGACTTTATCAACAAACACGGTCACATTCTGAGGTACTGGGGTTAGGACTTCAGCATATGAATTTGGAGGGGGGGGGGACACAGTTCAGCCCATATGTGATTAAGTTAAGAATCTTGAGGCCCTGGCTGGGGTAGCTCAGTGGATTGAGCTCAGGCCTTTAAACCAAAGGATCACAGTTCGATTCCCAGTCAGGGCTCATGACTGGGTTGCAGGCCAGGTCCCCGATGGAGGTGTGTGTGAAAGACAGCCACACATTGATGTTTCTCTCCCTCTCTTTCTCCCTCCCTTCCCCTGTTTAAAAATAAAAATAAATAAAATATTTTTTAAAAAGAGAAATGCAAATACAAATCAAAACCACAGTGAGATATTATCTCACACCTGTTAGAATGGCTATTATAAAAAAAAGCAAAAGGTAACAAATGTTGGAGAGGATGTGGACAAAAGGGAACCCTTGGACACTGGTGGTGGGAATGCACATTGGAACAGTCACTGTGAAAAATGGTGTGGAGATTCTCCAACAAATTAAAAATTAACTCCACGTAACCTGACAATCCCATTTTTGGGTACGCACGTCCATGTTTATTGCAGCATTACTTACCACAGGTGTGGAAACAACTTAAGATCCATCAACAGGTGAATGGATAAAGGAAACATGTTGTATACACACAATTATAGTAGAATATTATTTAGCCTTAAAAAAGAAGAAAATCCTGCCATGTGCAATAACATGGATGAACCCAGAGAACATTATGCTAAGTAAAATGAGCCAGATATAGAAAGACAAATACTACACAATATCACTTTTATGTGGCATCTAAAAAAGCCCGAGTCATAGACACGAAGAGTAAAATGGCGGCTGTTCAGCGGCTGGGGAGCAGGGGAAGTAAGGAGCTGCTGGTCGACCAGCACGAAGTTTCAGTTATGAAGGATGGATAAATTCTGGAGATCCGATGTACAGCATGATGATTATAGTTAAGGATACTGCATTGTATACTTAAAATTTTCTGAGAGTGGACCTTAAGTGTTCTCATCACACACACACACAAAACCAACTATGTTAGGTGATGGAAATGTTAATTAGCATGATTGTGGAGATCATTTCCCAGTGTATAGGTATATAAAAACATCATAGTGTACAGCAAATAAAATATACAATCTGCCCTGGCTGGTGTAGCTCAGTGGGTTGAGCACCAGCCTGCAAACCAAAGGGTCGTCAGTTCGATTCCCAGTCAGGGCACATGCCTGCATTATGGGCCAGGTCCTCAGTAGGGGGCATGCAAGAAGCAACCACACATTGATGTTTCTCTCCCTCTCTTTCTCCTCCCCTTTACCTCTCTCTAAAAACAAATAAATAAAAAATAAATACAATCTTATTTGGCAATTATATCTCAATAAAGCTAGATATTTAATTGATTAATTAATTGATTGATTTTTGAGGGGGAAGAAAACTACAAACCAATATCCCTGATGGCTATTGATGCAAAAATCCTCAATAAAATATTAGCAAGCTGAATTTAATACAACATTAAAAGGATTACATACCATGACCAAGTGGGATTTATTCTTAGAAGGCAAGAATGGTTTAACATATAACATTTAACCAATATAACGCACCATATTGACAGAATGAAGAACAAAAATCACATGATCATCTCATAGATGTGGAAAAAGCATTCAACACTCTTTCATGATAAAAAGAACCCACTCAACTACCTAGGAATAGAGGGAAACTACCTCAATATGATAAAGTCCATATATGATGAGCCCAGAGCTAACGTACTCACTGAAGAGAGACAAAGCTTTTGCTCTGTGATCAGGAATATCATAAGGATGCCCATTCTTGCCACTTCTACATATAGTATTGGAAGTTCTATCCAAAACAATTAGGCAAGAAAAAGGAAAAACAGGCATCCAAATTGGAAAGAAATAAAATTATCTCTGTTTGCAGATGACATGCTCTTTTGTGTAGGAAATCCAAAAGATTACACACACATACATAAACACACCCCCTCAACATGTTAGAACTGATCAATGAATTCAGCAAAGTTACAGGATAGAAACTTAACACACACAGAAAAAATCTGTTTCTAAAAAATTGGGAAAATTTTTAAAATAAAATGATAAAACATTAAAAATAAATCACTTGTGGTTTTATACACTAACAATAAGCAATCCAAAAGGATATTAAGGACACAGTTTCATTTATAATAAAGTCAAAAAGAATAAAATTCTTAGGAATTTAACCACAGAAATGAGACTTACACATTAAAAGCTACAAAACATTGCTGAAAAAATTAAAGAACACACAAATATATAGAAATATTTCATATTCATGATTGAAAGCGT